ATGTGGGTCTCATTCCACCATTGTTTTATCGTTTGGGGGCACGTCTCATGCTTCTGTTGCATGGTTTTGTTGCTAAGCAAGCATACTTGATTTTGTGGTTAAGAACACCTGCTTTCTTGGGCTTCCCTGGTGGTGCAGTGGTTAAGAATCCACCTGCCGATGCAGGGGACACGGGTTTGAGCCCTGGTCTGGGAAGATCCCACATGCAGTGGAGCAACTAAGCCCGTGTACCACAATTACTGAGCCTGCGCTCTAGAGCCCACGAGCCACAACTACTGAAGCCCATGCGCCTAGAGCCCGTGCTCCGCAACAAGAGAAGCCACCGCAATGAGAAGTCCGCGCACCGCAATGAAGAGTAGCCCCTGCTCGCCACAACTAGAGAAAGCCCGCGTGCAGCAACGAAGACCCAACGCAGTCAAAAATAAATAAATTTAAAAACAAATAAATAAAATTAAAAACAAAAACCGAAAACCTACTTTCTTGATTGATCATTAACTTACAGGGGTCTCCCATACTTTTTTCTTTACTTATAATCCCCTGGTAGGATTAGCTATTTAAGCACCTACTTTGTCCTTTTACTCTGTCCCTATCAAATAGAGTCCCTACTTTTTTGTCCCTACTTTTAATTTAGGACTCTAAAGAAAAAAATGTTGCCTGCCATTCCAGTTCTACAAGGATCAAGCCTGTTGGTCCCCGTGGTTGCCCACCCACAGTGCACCTGAGGGGAATTCAGGATGGAGAAAAACAGGAGGCATACTGTGCTTTGGATATACCAGCCCTTAGAGAGTTAAGATACCTATCTAAGGAGAAATTTCAATGACCCCAGATTCTTGCATCTTCCCATACATAGAACAGCACTGAGATCATTAACTTAAGATATCTATCCTTTGTGATTAGCAGTAATCTTTTTATGCTTGCTGATATGGTTTTCCCAGCAAAAAAAAGTTCACAAATATCCTGGCTCCTCCTTTACCTCTTTGGAGCAGTTTCTCAGAGCAATCTGAGTCTTCCTTTTTTTCCACTATAAAGCTTTCCCACTCCTCTGCCTGCCGTTGAGTCTCTGACAAAACGTGAGCCCTGGTGGTGGGCCTTCTTGCTATAGCCAGCTGTGAATAAGTAACTTCGCTAGTTCTTGTGGACTAAGAATGCTGCCTACCATCAGTAAACAAAGGATGTCACAGTCATCAGCAATTGCAGCCACCCCAACAGTGAGCGCCGAAGGAACTCAGGATGGAAATGAGAAACGCCCACCATCTAGCAGTCATCAGACTGCAGCCATCCGACAGTGCAGCTTGTGGAAACGCAGGATGAGAAAGCACAGGATGCTGGCCCCAGGTAGCTGAGGTGCACATCAAGGGAATGATTCCAGTGAGCCTAGCCCCTTGCCTCTTCCCATACATAGAAAAGAGCTAAATTCCTTAACTTGAGATATCTGGTTTTCTTTAATTAACAATCTTTTGACATTCCAACTCCCTGCCCTTTGTTGCAAAAAGTCCTGTATATCCTGGTTTCCCCGAACAGTTTGCTCAGCCTTTGTCTGAGATGCTGTCTCTCCAGGGTTGAAGTCCTAAGAATGTCCACCAAATAAAACATAACTCTCAACTTTTAGATTGTGCTTCTTTTTTTTTTTTTCTTTCCATCGACATTCTCATTTGGGTAGTCTTCTTTTATTTCCACATTTGTTATGAAGAAACCCCATATCCACAGTAGCATTGGAGAAGGAAACGTGTGTGTGTGTGTGTGTGTGTGTGTGTGTGTGTGTGTGTGTGTGTGAGTGAGCCTGGGATAAGAAGGAAGAGCAGGGAGCATGTCTGTTTCTTTACTCCTGTGTTTTGTTCAAGGAGCATTCTCCATCGATGTAGGGGTGGGTGTGGCAATGTCCAAATCCTGTTTGCTCCACCTCCTGCTGAGCTGGACTACATTTCCCAGCCTGCCTTGCAGTTAGGTGTAGCCACAGGCCTGACGTCTGCCCACAGAGGGTAGGTGTAGTGATGTACACTACTCCCAGGCCTAGCTCCTGGAAACCTTCCTTGCAATCCTCACCAATCTCCTCTTGCCTCAGCTGCGGGCCAGATGTAGAGGGTGTGGTGGAGGACCAAAGGCCACTGAGATGGTGGCATCACTAGGTGGGAGGAGGCTGGTGCCCTAAGGGATGGTGTGGCTCCGAACCCTGCCAAACCAACTTGGATCACTGTGATGTGAGCAGGAAATACCCTTGGATTGTGTTAAGCTGTGAAGATCTTCAGGTGTTTGTCGAGAAGTTAGCTCCATGCTTTGACCTGTTGGAAAGCCAGGTGTAGTGGCTTTGTTACTGAACTCAGATTTGGCTGCTCACTGCTCAGAAGTCAATATTCAAGAGGCAAATATTGGCAGAAAGGAAAGTTGCTTTAATCGGAACCCCAGGCAACTCATACACCTGGCTCCAAGCATCTTCCCTGGATGCCTCACACCTGGGTTTTGGGGTCAGTCCTGAGGTGGTAAATGAGAAGCTTTGGTTGAGGCTGTGTATGTGTACACATGAGTGAAATGTATTAAACATTTAGGGGAAGGTTTGACTATACAATTTATGAAACAAATAATAAACATCAGATTTTATTTTTCTCAGAATTGATTGTTCACAACAGCATTTATTATATGAAGGGATTTGATTCTTTTCTTCAGCTCTGCTACTATTTTTACATGTGACCCAATTCATAAAATGAGGGGGAAAAGCCAGAAAGAAAAAGATTATGATACCTAAAGTGAAACCAGTGTTTTGTCTTTTAAATATTCTTCTCAAAATCTTTAGGTTCAGTATTACAAAAGTTCTTTAAAATCAGAGTAACTTTGTGAGACAAGGATTCCCACTTTTGCCACTTTTTTTTTTTAATTAATTAATTTATTTATTTTTGGCTGTGTTGGGTCTTCATTTATGTGCGAGGGCTTTTTCCAGTTGCAGCAAGTGGGGGCCACTCTTCATCGCGGTGCGCGGGCCTCTCACTGTCGCGGCCTCTCTTGTTGCGGAGCACAAGCTCCAGATGCGCAGGCTCAGTAGCTGTGGCTCACGGGCCTAGCTGCTCCGCGGTATGTGGGATCTTCCCAGACCAGGGCTCGAACCCGTGTCCCCTGCATCGGCAGGCGGACTCTCAACCACTGCGCCACCAGGGAAGCCCAGCCACTTTTATTCAACATAGTATTGGAAGTTCTAGCCAGAGCATTTAGGCAAGATACGGAAATAAATGGCATCCAAGTCAAAAATGAAGGAGTGAAATAATCTCTGTTCACAGATGATATGACCTTATATGTAGAAAACCATAAAGAGTCCACAAAACTGTTATAACTAGTAATGAATTCAACAAAGTAGCAAGATATAAAATCAACACATAAAATTGAGTTGCATATATGTAAACTAATGATGAACAATCTGAAAAGGAAATTAAGAAAGCAATTTCATTTACAATAGCATCAAAAAGAACAAAATACTTGGTAACTAACTAAGGAATTGAAAGACTTGTACACTGAAAACTACAAAATATTGCTTAAAGAAATTAAAGAAGACACAAATAAATGGAAAGACATCCTATGTTCATGGATTGAAAGACTTAATACTGTTAAGATGCAAATACTACCCAAAGCTATCTATGGATTCAGTGCAATTTCTATCAAAATTCCAATGACATTTTTTTGCAAAGATAGAAAAACTCATCCTAAAATTCATATGGCATTTCAAGAGACCCTGAATAGCAAAAAAAAAAAAAACAAAAAAAAAACCATGAATAAAAGAACAAAGCTGGAGGACTCACACTTCCTGATTTCAAAACTTACGACAAATCTACAGTTATCAAAACAGTGTGGTAATGTCATAAAGACAGTCATATAGACCAATGCAATAGAACAGAGCCCAGAAACAAGTCCTTGCATATATGGTCAAATGATTTTTGACAAGAGTGCCAAGATCAATAGGGAGAGAACAGTCGTTTCAAAAAATGGTGCTGGGCAAACTGGATATGCCTATGCAAAAGGACTCTTATCTAACACCATATACAAAAATTGTCAAAAAGTGTCAAAGAACTAAACATAAGAACTGGATGGAAGAGCTTTAGAATTGAGGGCTTCTCTACAGACCTAGAGGTAAAGAGAAAAAGAGGTCTTTGTTGGAGGGAAAAATTGCTGGCATTTTTGAACACCTGCTTTGGGACACATAGTTTGTAGAAATGGTTTCACTTAGCCTTCCTAAAATTCCTGTGAGGTCATTAGCTTAGTTCAAACAAGAAAATAAAATTAACCATAATCCTCCAATCTAGAGATGACCACTGGTGTGAAGCTCTATGTATTTTTAAAAAATGTTTTTCCTTATTAAATTTCTCTTTAAGACTTAACACAGCAATGGAGTTCACTGCAATTAGAGAAACTACAAATTAAAAATAATATCACTCAGCCTCTTGTCTCCTGGGGGGCTGGGAAACACCATCACAGCAAATGATGGGAAGCAGGTGGCATGGCATGACTGAATTTGTCAGAAAGTGACCAGCTAAGGGACACCATTCCAAACAACCAAAGTCTGGATTTAAGCCTTAGCCTCAGGTAATCTCCATCATTCATTGGTTCAATGAGACATTTATTAAGTGGCTACTATGTGCCAGGCACCGTGTGAGATTCTGGAAATACAAAAGAATATGAACTGACCTTACCTTTCTGAGGTCTCATAGTCTAATGCAGAGGGGTGAAAAATTAACAAAGAATGACAGCAGTATTTAAGAATGCTGTAACTGGGGGCTCTGGGGCCCAAGGGCTGGAGAGCCCCCTCTTTACAGAGGACAAGGAAGACCTCCCGGTGGAGGTGACAGCTCTGTGGGTCACGGGACTTCAGATATAAACTCTGGTGCTGAGTGCAGCACAGTGAAGATGGACACAGACAGCAACAGAAAAGTCTGGCCCCAAATGAGACACCACTTCCTGTACCAACTCCCTTACAATCACGCGTATAGCAAAACCCAGCAGCACTGGTGTTCTTTTGGGATTTACCCCTTTAACTGGGCGAATTCGTAGAGAGCTCGCCGTGCCTGAGCCAGCCGGTAAATTTTCTCCCTAAGGAATCTCCTCTTGGCTGTCGTGTCACTCTGTTCTTGAAGCAGCCAGGAATAGTGCTGTTTTTCCTGTAGTATCTGCATCGTGGCTTTCTGCAAGTACTCACCATGCTCTTGGAGCATAAAATACTGAATTATGAATGGGACCTGGTTGGCGAGACGTTTGCTGGTTTCCTGGAAGAGGGGATAAGAAGGCTCAGCTGGAGGGGTCTGGGGCCAAGGCCTGTGGCTGCAGAGAAAAGTTTTTAGATGCATGCATGGTCTACTTGCTGAGTCCTGGTGTCCCGTCCACCTCCACGCCAGCGGTCAGTACCAAACCAAGGGAAGGATGGATTTGGGTCGCCCAATTTTCCCTGCCCAGGTATTCCCTCCGGCACGAAGAACCCACCTGTAGGCTAGCAAACCCATACCATGTTCTGGACATCCCAGCCTTTCTGGGAGCTCCTCCCCCACCCCCACTTCTCCCAGGAGGCACCTCCCAGCTGTGAACCCCGGGTCCCATCTGGGAGCCAATCGGGACCTGCGTCAGCGCTCGCCTCATTCCCTCCTTTCATCAGCATCTCCAGTTTGCCTGATAGCTGGACCCCACACCTGGGTAACTCTGCTTTCTATTCTGATCGAGAAAGGGCTTCAGGAGTTGGGCTTCTTGGCAGTTTAAAAACAACCTCCTTCTCTATGCGCCCTAATGCTTTAGTCCACGGATGGAGTGTTAGAAACCACGAAGCCGACTGGGTCACAAAATCTACGGAAAGCCTTTTCCATTCCCACTTTGTGGAACTCGCAAGTTTGAGGCACTTCAAGAGCTGAGAGCCTTCTGAACTATGAAGGGAAGCTGAACTATAACCAGTCAAGTTAGTGCTTTGCTGTATTCTGATAATAGTAATTTTGTAATTTATGCATAGCACAAAATACAAAGAACTTTGGAGATGGAATTAACTTTGAGTACATTCTCTGCTACATGAGAAACCTGATTTGGGGGCAAATTAAAAGTGCTTTGGTAAGGTTACTATAAAACTATAATGAGATAATATATGAGTAGTTTTTCACAGCCAAAGGGCTTGCTACACAGCGGTGTGGCCTCTCCCCTCTTTGCTCAGCTAAGCAGCTGTCAACGAGGTTACCCCGCTCTCTGCTCGGCAGGGACCATAGCGCACTGTTCCTGTACCCGCTACGTGCTCACCGAGAAATACGCATTCAGGTGGACCCAAATCTCAACAATGGAGGAAAATGAAGGCGGATCATTTAAAAGGGGCGATTTTGACTGAAGATTCTGTGGATGCTTTCCCACTGGGTTAAAAATCTCTTCTCAGACTCTGTTCAGAACCACGCTGTAAATTTGATCTTGACAATAAATCAGTTGCTCCATCCTGAACTGAAGCCGGATCAGATTTTCTGCTGTTTCCGCTTGTTTTGTTTTTATGTCTTCAATCTTGTTCTGGTTGAATAAGAAAGAGAAACCCATTACTTCTCTCTTTGTTGCCCCCCCACCGCCACGTTGTTTAAACAGCCTAGCAAGTACTATTATGTTGAACACGGAGTTAAAAATAATCCGAGGTCAAAGAAGGCCTGAGACTTTTAAGTGGCGATTTTCAGGAGGTCCCCCTTCACCCTCTACTGCTGTCCTCACCTGTCCTATCTTGTGACTCTGCCCCTTGCCTGTGCCAGGCTCACCTTCTCTCCTGCCGGTCTGTGTGTTTGTTTGTGTGTTTAGTATACTTGCTGCCAAAGGGAGCACATGCCTGTTCTTTTTCTCTGCCCCGACCTCCATCGCCTCTCACATCCCCATCTTGCTACTCCCTCAATTATGGTTTATCCTACATTTTTCATGCCCATCACTCTTGTCTCTGTAGTTGGCTTGAATCCAAGCATTCAAGAATGTCTCCAGGGCTAATGAGCACAGTGGGATAACAGCTCCATATCCGTGTTTCCCAGAAATTCTGCCCCTCCCATGTCACCTACACGGTCAAAGGCATCCCGGTCAAAGGCATCCCGGGAAAGGGAGAGAGGACATAGTGGAATGCGTTCACTTCTTGGCTTTTGAGCTTCAAATGGACTTTTGTGCATTGAAGGCAGAGACAGTAATTTGAGAGAAGAGAGAAACTGTGAGCTTCACAAGGGCAGGTTTTCCTTCTTTTTTAGGCGTGTATGTGGCCAAAACCACGTATGTGACAACATCCCATCCCACCTTGCAGATTTGGGGCCTGAGACTAGAAGCGGGCTATGCATCACTTCGCAAGAGGAGTTTCACGGGAGGACACAAGACCCTTGGTTCTGATGTGGCTCAGGAGAACAGGGTACAGACCCAGGGGGAGTGCGTCTGGGTGGGTGTCGTGTAGCCGTGCCCAGACCTTATTCATCCCAGGACGGCACAGGGGGCAGAGGCCCTTGGACTTTCTCGGCCACAGAGCGGCCTGTGTTTGCAGCAGAGCGCTCTGCGCCCTGGCAGGGCTGGGGAAGCGCTCACGAGGACCAGCCCTGTAGTCGGGAGCATGGAGCGTCCAGGGGGCCAACCACAAAGGCCCAGGAAGTATGCATACATCTTGCAAGCTGCCAGCCTGGAGGAATGGTGATCAAGGACCAGGCACATCACCTAGCCCGGGACTCAGACACAGCCCCTGGGATAGCTGGAGAAGTGTGATTTGTTTTCCACCAGCTGGCCAAAGAGGTGAAAGGAGAAACTCTTTGGTTATAGAAAAAAATGACAAATGTTTTTTCTTGTTCTCCTGAGCCCGTGGAATGAGCTTCTGACGCGTCCGTCTAGGCCTGGTGGAAGGGGATTTTTATCTAAGCCCAGGTGGGAGCCAAACGCCCCTGTCTTCCCTTTCCTGAGGGAAGGGTGCAATAACTAACTTGCTAAGTGAAAACCCACACAGCTGTGGCAATATTTTAAGTCAAACGTATAAAGATTTTGGAGTAAAACTAGTCCTTTCTGCAAGAATAAGATTCAACAATACCAGCCCATCACTAGGTGTGGTCAACACCATCCAGCCTATGTCCTGCCAGGCTGCAGAAGACCCTGCAGAAAGGATAACCAGGTCACGTGCTCTGTTTCATTTCTCCCAGGCAGTGCAGACACGCCAGAGCAGAAGCAAAATGACAGATGCTCCTGGAGTCACCAGCCCAGCAACCGTGCCATTATAACCCTGTCCTTATGTTTCCAAATGATAGTAACTATCCAGCTTCTTTCAAAGGTTAAACCCAGATAAATCAGCCAGTAGTACAGGCTACCAACAAGTAAACTGTGGGCACTTACCTGGACTGTCTGATTAAGGTTGGAAAATCCACCAAAAATTATTTTGGCTGTGTCAGTGAAAGTTTGCCAGATAATTTCTGATCAAGGAAAGAACAAAGCATCAGTAGAATGCAAGCAG